GAAGATCACAAAGTACCTTAAAAGGATTTTTGGGTTTAAACACAGATCGCCACAAATGCATTGCATAGCTATCAAAATAGCATTGATTTTTGTTAATGCAAGGCATAGTTAGCTACCATGGATGATTACATGCATGATGATGACATGATCCGGTTTTAGTGATGCTTAACACTAGGGGTGTTACACCTTTGTCCATCAGTGCCAAGTCTTGCTCAAGCTTCACCGCCACGCGGTCCATCGCTCCAAAGCCACCAACTTGCCCTTCACGCTTGCAACCAATCCACCATATCAATTATTGTCTTGATCTTCTCCACCATAGTCACATGACTCAATGTCATGTCTCATATAGTCATATGAAATAAGCTCCTTCGTCACATGTGTGAGCCTTGCAAAAAATCCAAGTCATCTTCACTGATGTAGCCATGGCCCGATCTTCTGATAGGTACGATAACGTCGATTGGTGGAGACTCGACGTTCATGATCTAGGCTTCAAACCAAGACTGATTCGGACCCCCACAACCGTTACACCACTGCTCTGTTGGTTATCAACCATGCGAACGCGATTGACCTCGTCGAGAAGGCTTTCCTGCAAGCGAATCGAGAACACAAGCAAGAACGGGATGAACGCAATCCGAAATTGCAAATAATATGAGGCTTATGATAACGAGAAGAAGTTCAAGTCTTTATTCGACGATTCCTGTGGATTCCAAAGGGCTTTTGACATGAGACCACTTGCATTGGTTTCCTTATCTAATTAGCTTTCCATCCATATATGGATTGTCAAAAACAAAGCCTGGACGCGCCCATGTGACCAGTTTTATGACAGATTGGTCCTGGAACCCGAGATGGGTTCGAACTTGATTTGGGCCTCCACCTTAGTGACTCGAACCGGATGAGCTTCGGGCCTCCTTCTCGGTTAGGACACTCTCGCTGATCTCCTCATCCTCTATCTCCAAGCATGGTCGTATGCATGGAGCTCATGTCCTTATCATCCTCCCTTTCTTGATGAAAAGCCATCCTCGGCGTCGATTTTGCTTGAAGTCGATCCTGCACAACATGAGGACAAACGAGGTTTCCAAAATAATGGGAATGAACAATGTTGTGAGAAAGAATATGACCATATGTCTAGGTTTATAGCATGTCTTGTCCTACAGACATATAGTCTGCTCGATTGAAATACACACGATCTTTATCAATAATATCCTGCAAAAGATTAGTACTAACAAGAAACATATGCTCCCTTTGTTTAGATTCCACTTGTGTTCGAAAAGCAAAACTAGAGGAATATGGCATAACAACAGTGTTGATTTTACTGTCCTCTAGTTGATCATTACTTTGCACAACAAAAGGAGAATTTGGATTTGTACAAATGTAAACTCGTTGTATCAAATATTGTCCTTGGTTGTTATATTTGCCAAAAACATGATATGTATGTCTAGATAACCATGGCAAATTAGCATATGCATAAAGTTTCTCCTCTAAAGAACTAAGATTACACGGAACATCAAATTAAATGTAACCCAAAGTATTTAAAGAAGACAACAATTTTAGCTCATCAACTTCACTAGCATTATGAATAACAAGCCTATTTTCAGCACAAGTGTTCGATTTCAGCACACATATAACATGATCATTCTTCAATGATTGCATGGGTATAACATAAATATCATCATGCAAGTCATCTTCGTCACAAGGAACATCAAGCAAATCATCTTGTGACAAAGGTAAATCAAGCGAAGGCTCCACTAAAATTTACTCTATCATATCATGATTGGTGGAAAAATTCAACACATCAAGAGAACTCTCACCTTCCGTGAGTTTAGCATCATGGGCATTACCTTTGCTCTCATGTTCAGCAGGAGTAATAGTTGATAGTTCTAAATTTTCACATAAGGTTGTGACCATCTCATTTTCTGTCGCGTCAACCTCGCTCTTTTGTACATTGTCCTGCAAAAGGTTAGGCGTAGCAGGAGGAACAACAAGAGATTGATCTAGTTGATGCATCTCATCATTTGAATTAATTACAAGAGATGGATTAACAAAATTTTCTCTCATAAGATCTTTCATATCATTCCATGTGTGAGGTTTATTTGAAAAACTTAAAGACTCCCACCGAGTTGATGCAGATTGTCTCAAAACACTAGTTGTATTTTTTATTTTCCTCCGTTCGCACATATAATTTTGTGCAAAAATATTATCTATTTTAGTTTCCCACTCAATGTACTCATCAGCACCAATACCATCATAAGTAGGCAGAGAAGAAAGAATAGATTGACCTGCGGGAGAAGGTGTAGCAGCAATAGTGCGTGGCTCATGCATCATTGATGTCTCATATCGGTACGTGTTGTAACATGTCATTGTTAGCATCAAACAAGAAAACACACAAGTATGTATTTTCCTATCAGCTACTATAGGATGTGGTCAAGGAGTAAAGTCACACACTCTCAAGCGTTTTACCATGGTCTTACAAGTGTTCTTACCAAAGCAACAGGTAGTGCAATCGATCGGTGACTGTGATACCGTTGTAGCTTCAGTGTAACAGTTGCAAAGCGAACCTGTACTTGGTTAGAAGAAAGTGAAGCTTGGACAGGCATAATATAGTAGCAAGGAATAGCAATATTCACAACTGAATAGCAAAACTGAATAAGTATCACGAGTACTTGTCTTAGTTGCTGGCCTATTCACGTTCCAAGTACCAGATGTATCAAGTGATGTGAACAGCAGGAATATGATTAGAAATAAGGCAGAAATCAGCAACGCAAACACAGCTCGAATGGAGCTCTCTATGTGCGCCTTTAGATATTGTTCCACTTTTGCTCCTCTTTTTTCCTTTTTTTTGGCTGTCGTTGTTTTTTTGGATTCTTTGACTTTTTCTTTTTTTGATATTTTTTCTTCACTTAGGAGCACAAAAGAAGTAACCACAGAAAATATGAGCTTAAACAAGTGAAAGGCGTGGTCTGTGGAAAATTCAGAAGACGTGCTCAAAATTGACAAAAAAGCTTGTGACCACGAAAAGAGGATCTTCTGACCAGTTTTTGACCAAAATAAAACTTTCCGAACCCGATGAAGCGGGGACGAACAGATCCAAAAAAATTTCTGATCGATTTTGATATATGGAACGTCGAAATCCGAGTTCATATGCGAAAACTAGACCAGTTTTGAGAACTGACTCCAAATTAGAGGACAAAACGGAAATAATGCGCGCAAAAATTGTTGCGGCGGCTATGAATAGATGCAAACAGTGAAGATAAGTGTAATAAATTAGATGGTGTGGACTAGAGTTTGATGGATACAAAGGAAACACAGTAAGACTCGAAGGTGTTCATGGATTATGATGAAAAATAAAGGGAAAGACACAAACTGGAATAAAAAAAGATCTAAAACCAGCAACCAGAACTTGCCCTAAGACACAAACTCAACAATGCAAAATAGAGATAAATTTGCATGGCACAACGAGGCTATAAGACAGGGAATATGAGGTGGAGTATATTTTTTTGGCTTTTTATGGACTATAGGTAATACAAAAACAGTAACAATCTAAAATGGAAAATAAAAGTATATCTAACGGGCAACAAGGGCTCTGATACCACTTGATGTAGATATGGCCCGATCTTCCGATAGGTACGATAGCGTCGATTGGTGGAGATTCGACGTTCACGATCTAGGCTTCAAACCAAGACTGATTCGAACCCCGTAACAGTTACACCACTGCTCCGTTGGTTATAACCACGCGAACACGATTGACCTCGCCGAAAAGGCTTTCTTGCAAGCGAATCGAGAACACAAGCAAGAACGGGATGAACGTAATCTGAAATTGCAAATAAATATAAGGCTTATGATAACGAGAAAGAGTTTAAGTCTTTATTCAAAAGGACTAATCGTCACAAGCGAACAAGATTAAGAACTGGGGCCCTGGTTCACAGCAAGCGGCCTTTTGCGGCACAGTTGCAGCAAAAACGATGTCTGTTTCACGAAAAAATCAAGAACTAAACAAAACCCCAAACTCTAAAAAGAGCGACGGCTGCTAATTATAGAGCCCCGGACGTCACCCCCTGGACGCGCCCTCTAATGGGCTCTAAGACGATACACGGCCCAATGGACCAAAAGACGGTGTCGCAGCACCCTAGCAGATTCTGGACGCTCACTTGTTTTGACGATTCCCGTAGATTCCGAAGGGCTTTTGACGTGAGATCATTTGCATTGGCTTCCTTATCTAATTAGCTTTTCATCCATACGTGGATCGTCGAAAACGTAGTCTGGACGTGTCCGTGTGACCAGTTTTATGACAGACTGATACAGGAACCCGAGATGAGCTCGAACTTGATTTGAGCCTCTACCTTGGTGACTCGAACCGGATGAGCTTCAAGCCTCATTCTCGATTAGGACACCCTCGCTGATCTCCTCGTCCTTTATCTCGAAGCATGATCGTATGCATGGAGCTCATATCCTTATCATTTACCGTCATAGCCTGAGTTGCTCACATAAATATATCTATAGACTAATCAATCTTATATTTTAATATATTAGTCTATCCAGGTTGTGACTCAGTTAACAAAAACCAGCGCCTTTTGTTTTAGGTGGTCGCGGCCTCCTTCCTCCCGGGCGGCCTCGAGGCGGCATTACCGGACGAGACCGTGAGCATGGCGCGCACCGGCATGTACACCCTCCTGTTCATCCACATGTACACCCTCCTGTTCATCCACTGCGACGCCTCGCTCGCGGGCGGGTAGGTGACCGCGCGGGGCAGGACCATCTGGAATAACAGCCGGGGCTACCACCCGGGCTAGATGGCGCCGCTGCTGCCTTTCTACGGCGCCATGTCGCTAGCGTTCACGGCGCTGGCGGCGTACTGGTTCGCGCAGTGCGCTCGGTTCTGGCGGGAGGTGGTGCCGCTCCAGAGCTGCGCCACGCTGGTGATCACGCTGGGGATGCTGGAGGCCTCCACCTAGTACTTCGACCTCGCCGAGTTCAACGAGTCCGGCGTCCGCCCCCGCGGCGCCATGTTCTGGGCGGCCACGTTCGGCACGCTCCGCCCCACGGCAGTGCGCGTGCTGGTGCTCGCCGTGGCCATGGGCCACGGCGTGGTGCTTCCTGCGCTGGCGGGGCTCAAGAGCGCCAGGGTGGCCGGACTCGGCGTCGTGTTCTTCGCCGCCGCGGAGGCCCTCGAGGTCAGCGAGAACGTCGGCACTGTGAGCGACCACTCTCCGTCGCCCACGAGGAGGCTGTTCCTCGTGCTCCCTGTGGCGGCCCTCAACGCGGTGTTCGTGTACTGGATATTCAACTCTCTGTCGAAGACATTGAACAAGCTCAAGGTAAGGAGCAACACTGTTCCGGCCTACCATTTCGGCTTGTTTTCTTTAGAATTGTTCAACGTCATAAATACGGGAACTTTTCAATGTTTGTAGGCGAAACGAATGACGGCGAAGCTGGAGATGTACCGGAGGTTGAACAACGCTTTGATCATCGCGGTGGCCGTGTCACTCGGTTGGATCACATTTGAGGTAAACTCTAGTACTAAACAAAAGAACCTCCTTTTTTTGTGTAAGCAGGAGCCTGAATTCATTCAACTGCTCTTGCTGTCCAATCTCTCGCTACTCTAGAATTGTACCTTTCAGCATCTGATCTTAACGAACACGTCCCAATTTGAGTTGAGCACTGCACAGCCTTTGCCTGACCCATCCTGTTGAACAATCAATATTGCTGCTTTTTCTTTGGATCTTAGCCCAAATGTTCAATCCAAGATTGATAGCGAAAGAATCCTTTTCTTGTGACTTTGATCCACCTGTCGCGGCCAATGTGCTGGTAAAATGTTTTTGGGGTGCATGATGTGTGGATAGGGAAAGAACCATCTTTTTGTGACTGATACAATCCTGAAGTTAGTAATGTCTAGTCTAGGTTAGTGATCAGACGATGCCCCTAGCCTCAGGGTAACAAGTTGGTCCTGTACCTCCAGAATGCCCATCTTATTTAGTACAAAAGCCCTTGAGATTTCTTAGTCTGAATGTGAATGATGTGCAGCTGAAAGAAACAACACTTCTGCATTACCCTGCACTCCGTCTTTCCTAGACAGTGACAAAACTTCCGGTTACCAAACACAACCTGCCTGATCATCTGCAAATCGCTATGCGCTTCGCTTGCAGGTCCACTTCAAGTCGACGGACGAGTACAACGAACGGTGGCGCGCGGCGTGGGTGATCCCGGCGATGTGGCAGCTCATCTCCTTCTCGCTGCTGTGCGCCGTCTGCCTCATGTGGGCACCCTCGCAGAGCTCGACGAGGTACGCCTACCTAGAAGACGAGGAGGAGGAGGGCGAGGACGAGGACCGTGACGTGGAGGACACGCGGCCGCTGATCCGGCCCGGCCCGCTGTCGTACGTGGACAACTAGGCCATCTCCGTGTCCAAGGACGCCACCACCATCATTCTGAGAACCGACTCCGGCGTGTACGTGAAAGCCGCCGGCGATGGAGGCAAGCGGGTGTAGCACCAGCGACGAGAGGTTGACGATACGGATCGAGAGCAAGAAACGCTTTGCGTCAGCAAGAAAGAAGAAAAGCTTCTCCAGAAATGTCGTAGATAGAGAGAGTGGCAGCTGTCTGTACGCTCGTTTGCGGTGTTGCTCGTTTCTTGGATATATAATCTCAAGGCTATTATTTGCTCTAAAGCCGCAGTGACGGATGCAAGCGCGTGTAGCTCTCTCTAGGCTATGTAGCTGATTTTGCATAGGTAGAAACATGCTGCGTTAGAGAAGAACGAAAAAACTTCTCCCAAACTGTAACTGTAATCATACAAATTTGGAGCTAAGGTTGGGCCTTCAAAGCTGAAGCTAAGGTATGGTTGGGCCAGTAATCAAGCAAATTTGGAGCTATGTGGTTCAGGTTGGGCCTTGGTTGTACAATAAGGGCCAATGTCTTTTTGGTATTACAACACAGTCATAGGGCCCAATATCGATAAGCACAAGACTATGAACTAATTTAGATTTAGACACTTCAATATTGAATGCTATTCGAAATCTTCAAAACTATCAAGGCCAACAAATGTGGAAAATCACAACCAAGGCCCAGCAAAAAAATTAATTTAGATTTGGTTGGAGTGCGCTAGGCTCGAGCTATAGTGCAACGGCCGAGAGCAACACGTAAGGGCCCCAGTGGCAAACCACTAGTGAGCCCTCCCCCACAAAAAATAAAATTAATATCAAAGTGGGCACATGACCCACATATCAGATATTAAACTAATAAGAACAGATACTACACTAGATCTTAGCCAAAAAGCCGAAAAAGGTATGAAATGCTATGGAACTCTGGGTCTTCTTTTATAGCCTTCCTCCGTCTCCGCCCGCTCAAAGCCGCCGAGTTGGGACTAAACTGAAGCGCCTCACCGCACAGGCAGTCAGTCAGGCACAGCGCGAGCGCTTGCTATTGCTCTATTTGGTCACTGGGGCCTTTTGGGCTTGCAATTTAGAAATAACACATGTTGCTCGTGGAGTTGTGGTCCAGTCCCGCCTGCCTGCTCGCCTCCTCCCAACAAACCGTGCGCGCAATAATTATCCTCTTCACGCTTCTTTCCCAAAGCTACAGTAGATCACAGGCGAATCCCAGGCGATTTCCAACTCCCGGTGTCGATTCCGTCGATTCCTTCTCATCGCCGGTGGCCACTTTGGCTCCGGGGATGGAGAGGAATTGCGGAATCGATGGCCGGTATATATAGCCTTCCTTTTTAGCTTATGTTTATGTAGGTTAGGGTTAGGGTTGAAGTCTTTCCCAAGCTTCTCCGGTGTTGGCTATGTCAATGGTGGACGGGTTTCGATGGTGGTCTGTGGGCGGGAGGACCACAGCGACAGTATCATCTGCAGGAGGTTTGGCATCGACGATTTTTTCTTTGTTTCCTTCTTCTACGTCGGTGCTCGGATCTTCTGTGTGCTTCTTTGGGTTGTTTGTGGCCTTCTCGTCAATGGCAACGCTGAATTCGTGACCTACAACATGGTTGTTGTTCGAAGGAGACTTGGTGCTTTTACCGGTGGTGTTTTCACCGGGATTTTGTCCCTCCAAGGAGGTTTCCCTTGGAGGTTATGGATCCACTTGCTCCTGTATGCGGGCTGGTGTTCTTGGATCCCCTTTTGTGGGATTGTTGCTTGTTGGCCAGAGCTTGCCGGTGATGTGGCTGGTGTCTGTTTCTGGTGAAAGTGGGGTTTGCCCGGGGCGTTCAACGGTTAAACAACACGGTGTGCTGCTGATGGGCTTCAAAAATCAAAACTCGTTGTCGAATCGGGAATCGGCCGGAAGCTTCATTCTGGATCTTCTTCATTGCGGGAGATGGAGGACCAGGCTGCGGCAACGATGGTCGGCGATGGCGGCGGGCACTGGATGCTCCTGTAATGGACTTATGTGTAATTTTATTTTCTTTCAGGGGTACCCGGTCAGGGGGCTTGGTTGTAAGCATTTAATTTATACCTAATAATAAAGAGGCAAAATTTCAACCTCTTTTTTTTGGTCCATCCATATTTTTGGTCCGCTCCCTCTAACTGCTGGACAATGAAGAGTTTTTTTTCCGTTCATACTTACTGTACATATATAACCCGTGCGCATACGAGTTAGAATAGCTCTTGTTTAGCGTGATATAGAGTCCGATTCCAAAACATATTGGATCGTGGAAGAACAAATTAAAAACCAGCCAATAAATCAAAAGGACTGCAGCTACAACTCTATCTCTCTGCAATAGTTAGGGAAACAATTCCAATTGAACTTGGGCCTTGTTTAGTTGGCGAAATTTTTTGGGAAATGATATTGTAGCACTTTCGTTGTTATTTGGCAATTAGTGTCCAATCATAGTCTAATTAGGCTTAAAAGATTTGTCTCGTGAATTTCGTCTAAACTGTGTAATTAGTTTTATTTTTTATTTATATTTAATGCTTCATGTATGCGTCCAAAGATCAAAGATTTGATGTGACGAGAAATCTTGAAAAATTTTGCAAACAGTCACTTGGTTCGACCAAAGTGCACGCAGGCACAGGACACCGAATTCCTAATCCTAATTGGACGGTGTACGCAGGGACACTGGGACAGGATATCTCCGAGCATGGGCGGATCCAATGGTGGGGCGGGGTGCTCAAGCCTCCTCTACCCATACTGGAGCTGTGGAAAACACTGTAGAGCTCATATAAATTTTTAGGCAAAATTATATAGTGTAGAGAAGGCTAAGACTTAACATCAAGCAGCAGTCGAAGTTATGTGTTATTTAACCCCTTAAAATATTTTCTAGATGCGCCGCTGTCTCAAGCTCCTAATCGGACTGACATATAGTAACGAAACTAAAAACAGCTAGCACCTAGACTAAAACTTGAATATTAAACAACTAACTCTGACCTCGTGCATGTACATGTCTCCTCCTCCTTGCACTTGACACATGCACACGTGTATATGGCACCGGCGCAGTTAAAGAAAGTAAGCCTTTGAACAATGACAATTAGGTGGTCAGCAATTTATCTTTGAATTCCAGTAGAGTAGAGCCAATAGCAATATAGGCCCCGTTCAATTTGCTAAAACTTAGCTGAATTGGTTGAAAAATACTGTTTTGGCTGAATTATTGTGAGAGAAAAACACTGTTCCGTCTGAAAAAACAAGCTGAATAATGCGAATTATAAGGTAAGCCGAACAGAACCATAATTTGGCCTCGTTCGCTGGTTTAAAACTTGGCTGAAAAACACTGTTCCGACTGATTTGTTGTGAGAGAAAAATATTATTTGACTGATTTGATGAACAATATATTGAGAGGGGAGATCAGCTAGCCGGCTAGTCTTATAAGACCAGCGAACGGCCCCTTACTCTGCTTCTTTTTTTCAGTTTTCATGAGAAAATTATCTCCAAATATTAGCTTGGGTGGCAAATGAGCAACGATTGATGGAGCTGCATCCTTCATCTTGCTTTTCTTTGCATCAAATAAATTAAACCAAATTGAATAATTTGATGAGCTTTGGGCTCATCATCCTCTGTCACAGTGTCACGCTTCGGGAACAGAATGTCGAGCTCCTGCTGGAACATCGTGGCCAGGAACAGCCCCGGCACGGTGTACATGTTGGTCCTCGTGACCAGCCACTGCATGTTCGACAGCAGCCGTTGGTAGTCAGCGCATAAGATCATCTTGTCCTCGTGGTCGTGGTCGAGGTGAAGGTATACAAACGTCGACAATTGCGTCGTCGTCCGCACATCGGCGAGTCGTACTTTTTCAGCCAATGAACTCATAATAAATCAGTTAATAGTATTTTCAGCCATAACTTATCAGATAAGCGAAGAACACTTTCGTCATATTCGCTTGACTTATAAGTCATACTTTTTCAGCCAACGAACTCATAATAAATCAGCCAACGATATTTTCAGTCATAACTTATCAGATAAGCGAACATGACACTTATTCTCCATCATGTTGTCATAGCTATCGGCGGTGTCGATACTGAAGTCGGTGTAACTCGCCGGGAGGAAGTCCCACGGGAGTAGCCACGTGGTGCCGCGAAATGGATCAGAAGAGCTCGTCCATCTCGAAGCTCAGTCCATCTCCAGCCTGTTCGTTTCGGCTAAAACGATTATGGATTATTACTGCTGACTGGTTTGGTATAAGAGAAAAATACTATTCTGACTTATAATCCACGATCGTTTATGACCAAGCGAACATGCTGCTCGATGCTCGGGTCCACGAGGACGCGGTCGGTGAGCACCACATAGAGGAACAACGCCAACGCGGCTGCTAAGATGTGGTTGCGCAGGCTACAGTAGGAGATGGAACGGAGTCTGATTTCTATGCATACTGGATCTCGTGGCAATGCACGTATATTTTTTTTTAGTATTAATAAAATCTGATCTTTTTTTTTAAAAAAATAGACCGTGCGTGATATCTTCTTCAACAACAAGATCTAAAGAAGATTTTTTTTTTCTGTAAATGGATTTCTAAGAGAGATGATATTTATATTTGAATTGTGCTTTTCAGACAGGCCAAAATAGATCTTGCGTGATGGAGGCTGATTTTAAATATCTTAACATCTATTTTAGGTTTAAGTGCGCGTACGGGTTCGTTGTTGAGACAGTCTGTGCCCAAGTTCCCCAGCTCCATAGCAGGCAGCTAGCGGCGTTATTCACCCGCGCCGCCGCCGCCGCCGTTCCACGCCGTCTTCCCCTGGTCCCCTTCCGTGCACGTCGTGGGTGAAAGGGCATACGGAGCGGAAGTTTGCCCCGCAACGTCCGCCTCGCCTCTCCCCTTGCGTCTTCGCCTCCATCTCTCGCTGCCTGCCGCGGCGGGGAGCAGGAGACCTGGGCCGTGCAGCGAATCATTGAAGCTGCGCGGGGCGCGGGGCGGCGGACCGGAGGCCATTGGGGCCACTACGACAGCCTTCGAGCCAAG